GTTTCTGCCTCTCCTCTCATCCTCTTTTGCTGAATCACCCCTTTCACAAGCTTCTGGTGCTCTTTGTTGATCCTGGGAAGGAAATGGGAGCCCTTGCCCAGCCAGCTGAGAGGGGCAGGGAGCTCTGCCAGCCTTCCCTTTGCTCCTCCTTCTCTTAAAAGGCTGCTTCTTTCTGCTGGGAGAAGGAGCCGTGATAATGGGGAAGCCCTTTCACATCCCAGCCTCGTGTGGGGATTCCCTGGAGGGTGATGGTGGAGGGATGGCAGTTTAGGGGTGGCAGCCCCACCAGCAGCGGGGAGCTGCTCCAGGGACCTGCCTGGCACAGGGACCCTGGATGATTGACAGCTGTCAGCTCCATGTCTGAGTTGCCCAGCCCAGTAAACTCAACAGCTCTGGCCATCTCTCACCTGACAGTTGGTACTTGCAGCATCCTGCTCAGAGCACAGCAGTCGGGAAGAGGCATCTTTGCAGCTGTGCCACTGCCTGGATTTTGCCAGCCTCTTAGGAAACCCCAGTGTAAGGGGGATGCTGGTGAAACTGAAGCTCTGAGCAGAGCCAGGGAGAAAGGAGCCAGGCCATCAGGAAATCATGCCCCAGAGCATCCTTCCAGTGTGGGAAGGGGACAGGAGAACCCAGCTCCTTGGCTCAGGGGTGGGCAGAGGATTTGGGTGCTGCAGGAAGTGGCTTGGCAAGGTGGGCTTCCAGCCGTCAGTACTGGTGTCCCCAGCTACCTGGTGAGCCCCGCAGCTGGAAGGATTGCTCCTGTTCCAGCCCCAGCTTTGCTTGTCTGTACAGCAAAGCCAGACTTTTCCTGTCAGCTCAGTTCCCCTCCTGTCCAGGAGAGTTTTTTGCTCCCTGCAGCATCTCTGGTGAGCTGAGCTGTCAGGTCTCAGCCAGCACAGAGGCAGGCAGGCCTGCTGGCTTCCCAAGTTTCTTGCAGCTGGATCATCTGTCCTCCTTCCAGATGCTTCACCCCAGGCCCACGAAGAAGCAGGCGCAAAGGGGGGAATCCAAGGGGAAGCATCCTGAGGGACTGCTGGGCTGCTCAAATATGAGCTTAAGCAGCTGGGAAAATTGCAGAGAAGTAATGTGATGACCAAGGGAGGAGGCAAAACCCCCATCAACCCCCACCTTGGAGGCAGCCGAAGAATTGACTGTGGCCTGGCTTGTCTGCAGCAGCTGTTGAAATACAAAGGGGGAAAAACAAGCCTGTCTTTGATAGGGCTTGTCCCCTCTCCCACCCTGCGACTGAAGACACAATTTGTTGTTCTGGGACAGTGTAAAATTTAGGAGTCTCCCAGGCAGTGAGTGCCTGGGGTGGTCCCAACTGCCAAGTGGATGGATGGAGTTTTTCTAGTGAGGCACTGGAAACGGCAGGATCGTGGTTTCCAGCACTGCTGACCAGCAGAGGCATGGCACAGGCTGCAAGGCAGCGGCAAGGGGCCAGAGTGCAGCCGACTATGCCACTGTCCCGTGCAGGGTGAAGGCTGCGATCTGAGATGGGTGGGGAGCGACAGGGATGCAGGATGAAAGCCACCAAGATGGATGCGGGTGTGAGCTTTGTGGAATGCGAGGAGCTGAAAATATTGCCTCTCAGTTGACTAATAAAAAAGTCATCTTGTTTTGCAAAGGCTCATTGCAAACATGTGCGGGTTGTGGAGTTCCCAAAAGGGGGAAGAAACCTCTCCCTGTTGGAGCAGCTCCTGGGGGGAGGATGCACAGAAAAATTGGGGTGTTCAGCATTGCAAGCCCTAGGAGTGATGGATCTGCAGGGCTTACCTTCAAAAAAAAAAAAAAGGATGGGGAAGCAAGAGGGGGCATGAAAAGCAGCTGTGAGGAACCAGGAATAATTGTATGGCTTTGCAAAAGATTACCATGGCAATTAAAAGTGCTTTAAGCTTTTTGGAGGAGAAAGAAGGAAAGAAGAGGGAAGTAAAACACCCCGGTGCTGGATTCCAGGGTAGCACGGAGGGAAGTACTGACATCACCAAGTGCAGCCATGGCACAGCCAGGGATCTGCTGCAGGGATGCTGGGGGATGAGCAAAGCCCAGTGTGTTGGGAGTCAGGCATAAGGGCCAGCAGGGAAAACCAGCTGAGCAAGGAGCCTTGGAGAGAAGTGATGAGGGAAGCTATGTCCACAGGGTGCTCGAGTGCTAAGTGCTCATCCCTGTGTCCTGGGGATGGGGGATAAGAGCCACGGTAAGGCTGAGCTGCCTATGCCCTCATGCTGGCTTTGCCTACCTTCTCCATGCTCACCTGAGGATGCATTCAGCTGGTTGAGGGAGAAACAGCATCCTCTGCTAAAATGTCCTCTGCAGCATTTTTGACCAGACACCAGGCATCTGCAGCCCAGATTTATGCTTGCTCTTGTGTTCCAGCCCCAGGGTTTGCAGGGTGTAAACCACTGCCCTGGGTGAGACCCACTCCACTGACATCACTGAGCACTAGTCTAAGATGTCGTGACAAGGACAAAGCACTCGAGGTGTCACATCCCAAGGTGTCTAGACTGAGGTTGCGGTGGGCTCCTTCCCTGCTGGGTGTGAGTGCCTGGTGACTCGGCTGTGGGCTGCAGGGTTTGGTGGCAGCCGCCTGCCCCAGGCTCCCTGTGAGCCCCGCTGGGTCAGCAGCCGGTGCTGCCTGGTGCCAGCCGCCTTCCTCAGGGACTGCAGCCATGCCTGGCCACCCACAATAGCTGCTTTCAGTCCAATTTCACCGAGGGGTAGAGCTCTCAGAAATACTAAACTGCTGGAAAACAGGCTTCCATCCTTAGTTGGTTTGTCACAGCCCTTAGGAAAGGTCCCATATTGGGTCTGGGACCTCATGTCTAGGCTGTGCTCAATGCTGCACAGGCACAGGGGGGATCTCTGTGCCTCTTGCTGCCATCAACCTTACCAGTACGGCACAGCTGAGCAAATCAAGGCACAGGGAGGTAAAGAGAATGAACTGTGGCATTTCTTCAGATCAACCCATCAGCTGTGACTAACCTGAGTGGTTTGGACCCTTCTCAGGGGGGCCTACAGAGGCCCTACAGAGGGCCTAAGCAGCCCTCAGCCCAAGCAGCCATCCTCCAGCTTTGTCCCTGCTCTCACGGAGCAATGTCAGCTCCCCAAAGTGATGTGTGGGAGAACCCTGTGCACGCACCAGCAGAAGAGCCTTCATCCCCAAAGTGCCACCAGCTCTTCTGCGGTCCAGAAGCTGCAGCCACTCAATCCATGTCACTCCAAAATTCAGCACAGAGGGGGCTGGGGAATCACCTGCACAGCGGGTTGGGTGGTTGTGGGGCAGAGCTCATACCAGCCACATCCCTGCCCTTGGGGTGGTCACAGTCTGGTGGGAGCCAGTGCATTTCTTTGGGGGCACAAAAAACCCCACCACCTCAGAGTCCACCTGGCTATTCCTACATTGCTTCCCCACTGCTGTCAGGCCCATTGAGATGTGGAGAGCCTCAGTTTTCTTAAAGCCTGTGCTTTTCTTTCAACTGATGCTTACTTTTCTCATGCCACTGGAGATGATGCAGGGCAGAGGAGTCCCTGGGCCTTGGCCACCCACTCCCTTTATGTCTTAAGATTTCACTGTGAGCTCTGGTGGTGCCTCTGTAAAATGATGCTCAGTGCTTGTGTCCCAAAGCTTTCCAAAGGCCAGGGGAAAAAGAAAAACAAGAAAACCCCACACACAAACATAACAAAAAGGCAGAAAGCTACAATGATGGAGGTGGAGAGGTAAAGCAAGGCGGGGGGTACAGTGTACCCATACCCTGGGACTTTGTGGAGCAGGGGAAGGGTGGGGG